CACAGCCGCTTGCCCTCTTTTGGGGGTGCGGGACCTCGCAGCGGGGTGCAGGCAGCAGGAAAAGCAGGTGGAGAGGGGACAAGAGCCGGGCCAAGGCTGCCGGGAGTCACCCGGGGATGCCCCGGGGAGGGGGGGTCTGGGCCGGGATGAGGCGGTGGGTCTCCCACTGGGGATGCCTCCAGCTCGGTGGCCCTCGCGGGGCACACAGGGGGGACAGATGGGGTGTGGGGTGCTGGAAAGGTTCCCTGAACAGCTGCTGCAGCCTCCAAACACCAGCGGAGCCCCTTGGTCCTTGGGGTCGCTGCCCGTTGGCACCCCCACGGCCCACCCTGAGGGGCTCAGGCAGCCTGTCCCCTCATGCCAGCAGTGACGGTGACTTTCTCCCTTCCAGGTGCAGGAGGGAGGAGAGGGGTTCCCGTGTCCCCACTGCCCTGCCGGAAGAGGGGGAGCCGAGAGAAAGCTCTGATCAGTCCTTCCCAGTGGTGCGGTGAAGCCCAGGACACAGCTGCAAGCGATCAAACTGGGACGAGGCGATGCCGTCGTGCCGCCTGCCTGGCCCTATCCCCACCCCACTGTCAGCACCGCTGCCGTCCCCTCTGTCCCCTGCCAGTGCCGGTGGGCAGAGGCCCCGCGCTCGATTGCTGCGCTGGCACCCCAAGCGTGGGGCCGAGCTGCGGGCCCTGCTTTTTCCTGCGGGACGGTAGCGATGGGGGCTGCTCTCTCCACCGGAGCGGTCGTGGCAATTTCCTTTAACTGTGTCATCGCGTTGCTCATCCTCATCCTCTTCCTCATCCTCTGCAAGGCCTGCAGGACCCCCTCGTGCCCCAGGAAGAGCCCGGCTTCTGACGCAGATGAGGCAAGGAATGAAGAGAAGTACCTGCTGCAGCCCTGAGCTGCCTGGGGACTTGGGTACCCAGCTGTGCTGAAGGAGTCGTGTCAGCCTGGATGCCTGTGCTGGGACTGGGGTGCTGGATAGGGCACGATGAGAGCAGAGGGGACGCCGAGCTGCTCGCAGGGGCTGTCATGCGGGGCACAGCCCTTCGCCTGCGTGGTTTTGGTCTGTGAAGTCCCTGTGGACGTCCACAGTGACCATGGGGATGGAGAGAGAGCAGCCAGGAATGTGCTTCAGGGACAATCCTGCCTGTTCCAGCAGCCAGCAAGCACAGCAGGAGCCCTGCCCTCGAGCGCACCCGGTGTTCGGGGACAGCCCATGGGCTCCTCCCTGGCGCTTGTGGCCCGGGACAGTGGCCACTGCGTCGCAGACCTGAGCAGGGCTTGTTGGGGACTTGGAAAGGGGAGGCAGCGGGGCTGGCATGGGCGCCTGTCCCCGAGCAGGCTGGCTGCACCATGATGGGGTGTGCCTGGGGAGGGGACCCCAGCATCCCTGGCCCTGCCAGCAGAGTGGGGTGTCACTGGCCCAGGTGTCTTTGGAAGTGGCCTTGGGGTGCCTTGTGTCCCCAGCCTCAGGAGGGCATTTGGCACCCATCTGCCCCAGCAACCAGTTTAATGAGCCTCAAGCGGGTCTGCATGGTCTGCCCATTTGTCCCCCGTCTCTCTGTCAATCCCCTCCAGCATTAGCACCAACACTGCCAGGCAAACGGCCCTCCTCCTCGCTGGGGGTGTGCCCCTGCCTGCTCTCCTGCCTGCTCCTGGCCAAGGCCAGCCAGCGGGGTTTGACCTGCCCACGGGCAGCAGATGTGCCCTCATCGGCATCCCCATCCCTGCTGAGAGCAGCCTAGGATGGCTTTTCACTGGGGTGGTGGGAGACATGATGGGGATATAAGGGTGCCTGGCATTGGAGGGTCTTCCAGCCACGTCGCTCCCCAGGGACCACAGTGGCTCTGTGGAGAGGGGTGCTGGTGGTCTGGCTTGTCTCCCCAAGCCTGGCAGCTGCATTCTCCCACCCTGCCTGCAGGTACTGTGGGCTCTACCCTGCCCATCCTAGAGCTGAGCAATAGCCACGGCCCCTGCTGGCACAGCCACTGCAATAAGGGAACAGAGGGCTGGGCTGTGCTAGGAGGGATGCTGGCCAGGGTCTCTGTGCAGGTTTGGCCAGGCCTGTGGTTCCTCCCCATGTCAGGTGTAGCTAATGCATCCCTTTGCGGCATTGTTTTTACTAGACTAATAAACCGATTGTAGGACCCAGGTGGTGTCTCTGAGCTCTGCCCAACTCCCGAAAAATGATGGGGGGGGATGGGGGGTGTGTGGAGAGGGGCAGCGTGGTCTGCCACATCCCACAGGGCTGAGAAGCTGAGAAGTCCCTGCAGGACTGTGGGCAGTTTGCTGGGTGATGGTGACAAGGAAGGGCTCATGTCTGTCCATGGCTCTTAAATGCTGGGCGAGAAACCTGTCTGGGTGTTTCATGCCCGCAGCATGTCTGCCTGGGCTGGGGGCACGTGGCTGTCAGCAGGGAGCACCCCCATCCCCAGTGCTAGAGGCACTGGAGAGTTTCTAAGTCATGGCCTTAAGTTACAGGGGTGCTTGTAGGGGACGCAGTCCAGCTGAGCAGATGGAGGAGACCTGCCACCCCCCGTGCCTAGTGGAACCA